GGCTGAAGGATAGTAAAGTAACTGAATAGATTTGCAAAAAGGTGTAAAGTTGAACTCACCCTGTCAATCTCTCTGAAGAATAGGAATACCATTATCTTGGACCTAATTCAATTCCCATTAGAAAAAGGAAGACTTGGAGCTGTTGGTATGAAATCATGGCACCATTTGGTGTTATTGAGATATGAGAGGATAAACAGAGTGACAGAAAACCAGAAGCATTTTAAAACATCATGGTCTACAAAAGAATGGACATTTTATAGCTTAGTCATGATCATGAGAGACAGTCAATTGTGTCCTTTTCAGAACAGTTTCAGATTTCATTGCCAAAGAAGAATGCAAAAAACAGGCCTAGAAGGACCAATTGCAATTCTATCAAACCATTATAAGGCTTCACCATATGCCATTACAAAATCAGTAGTTGTGCAAGGAACAATCATAAAATAACCAGACTGTATCTTCATAACATTTCTATTGGTTTGTGTCAGTATTCATTTAGGAAGTCCTTAATCTGTATATCTATATGTGCAGAAGGCGTATGAAATACTAGTATTTCATATTTAAATTATGTGCTATGACTGTCCTGTTATATATTTTCTCTCAGACATTTTGCTTGCTTTTAAACAGAAGAAGAAAAGAAGCCAATGATGGTAAATTCTATTTGGAAAGAGAAGGGTCCTGTGTATCAGAACATTGCAGTGACATTTGGCACCAAATACTGTATTTCTGGGGACTCCTTTGTTTCAAAAAAAGGAACAAATTTACTCTGTTCATTAGACAGGTGCATCAATTTTAAAATGGGTGTCCAATGAGGCTTGTTTTGCTGAAAAAACCCAGATTCTTCTGCCCACTTTGCAAATTCATAACACTCCTCCCAGGTTAAACCAGAAGGCTCCAATTGATTCATCACTTCCGAAAATCTTAGTGTTTATTTTTAGTCAGTGCAAGAAGAACCCCTGATTTTGACAAAATCCCATAACACAGCCTCCCTTTCAGAGTAAATTATCGACAAAATTATAAACCAGCAAAAATAGAGGTCCATAATGGAGATGATGACAGAATTTTAATTATACAGGGCATGAAGGACAATGTAATAAAATTAGTGGGGAAAAAAACCTGTCATTTAGTCTATGATATGCCTGATGACTTCTCCACTACAGATGAACCAAGTGCTTGGTTATATTCACTCAGAAATTAGTTGCCTTGGGCCTTCAATGCTGAAAATGCTTTGTACCTTACATTCACACATGAATTTCTGTTAATCGTGATTTGGAGCACCTCTGTGAGAGATGTAAAGACAGAAAATGAATATTGTCAATTCACAGTTATGCAACTTGTTTTGGTAAGTGATGCAGCCAAGGCTTGGAATGGACACTGCATTCGTACACTACAGTTAAATTAACTAATTCTCTGCAATCTATACACTTAATTCAAAAGTTAACTTGTTCAAAGCAATATTAAGACGTCCACTTGGGACACAGTTGTTTAATTTAGAAAGTCCTGAGTCAACAATAGAAGAATTCTTTCTAAATGGGTGAGATTTTAGTTTCTTTCCTCTGTGTAGGAAAAGAGGGGGGCGCAACAGAAATTATTAGGTTTACGCACAAAAATCTCTTACCACATGGAATACCAGGGAATTTTTAGGTCTCTAATGTTAGTTTAAAGACAACAGATAAGTGCCAACTGATCTACATTGACTGTTTTGACTGTGGTACTTCACAGGCTCTGAGGTGATAAATTCCCTCCTCTACGAAATTGAAAAATTCCCATAAATAACATTTACCATTCAGCTCTGCTGAACGTTAGCCAGAGGTGTGTAATTTCCATTTGCACATGCATTTTCCTCTGTATGTGTAGCTATGATTGCAGGGTAATGGAGAACCATATTTTAGCACTTAGTCACAGAAAATGATAAAACTTCTCTCAAGTTTAATCACTCCCTTTTCAACATAGTTCAAGTGCACAACAAACTATTGCTCACTGTGAATTCAGTGGGGTGAAAGGGGTACCAAAAAAGCTTCAGCTGTATTATTTCAGTCTGCTTTCTTAAAAGGTGTGGATTTTTTTTTTTGACAACAGAGAGTGACAGTTACAGTGTGGTAACACTAATTCATGGTTTCCTGTATACCAGAGACTAAGAAAATATTAAAACCAGCCAGAGGCCACAGGGTCAGAGCCTCAGGCTTCCAAAGGGAAAAAAATCCACAAGTTCTTTAATAAACATTTACAAGGAGAACAGAGAGATGAAGTGACCTACTGGTGTGGAAGGTTCTAACCCTACCAGTAATTTTATTGCTTGGTAAGATTGCAAGAATCTTGGTGTGTCTGAAAGTTTTTAGTAAAGTGTCTTTACAGGCATTTGAGGAGGAATCATTTTCTGGAGATGTTGTTTACCAACAGCTCCTTCTTCAGATACTTATGACCCTTTTATATCTCTTTTGACCCAAATAATTTGTTTTTGCTTGCAAGTAAAGAGTCATTCTACTAAAAGCAAATAATTTCTGTGTGTCTTTTCAAACGATCTTCAAAACATCAAGCACAGTCATGGATGCCTGAAGACAGAATAGTATCTTCATAAAAATGCAAATTATTCCAATTATAATAGCAATCAGAGTCACAGAGAGCAAGGGATTTCTCAATTATAGCTCTTGTGTGGCACTCAGCATTCCCACTGAGACACGGCAGAGGAAAATACAACAATTTAAACAGTACTGATGTCCATTACCTTTGTAATTCCTAATGGTATGAGTATTATTCAAAGACTGAAATAAATATAACTCATAGAAAAGTAGCATAAATTCTAAGCGAAGCTTTTGATTAAAGCTCATGTAAATACACTTTGATATACTTTTCACCAAAATTTTAGGAGACAGACACAGATGCTGAAAATTATCACAACCACTATTTGACAACTAGGTTCCAACCTTGATTACTCATGCAACAATAGGTAAGGATCACAGTTGTTCAAGAGATACAAAATAACAGGCCAAATATCACTCAGTTCCTACTCCTTGGACAAGCAATCCAGAGCAGTTATAATTAAAGCTAATAAAAATTAATTAGCTCAATATAAATACCTTGCATCATGTCTGGATCTCAAAGCACTCCACAGGAGAAATCCCAGCTTTACAAATAAGGAAATAGAGACACCGGGAAGGAACTGATTTATTTATTGACATAGTGTGCTAGAACAGGGACCTTGACCTGCATTTCCCTTGGGCCATGTGCATTATTGCATGCACTATTCCTCTTCATCTGAGTTTCCTTTGAGTTTAGATCCAGTTCAGATTGCAGTCTCTCTGAAACAGCATCAAGATGACTGTAATTTATAGGTCTGCCTTAATTTAGACAGGATGCATCACCTCTAAGAAGCCTAATCCAGAGTCTAAGAATAATTCAAATTAAAAGGAGCTGGTCTTACCTTGTGTATACCCTAATCCAACATACATACTACTACTAGTAGTTTTACTCCACCTATCAATGCATTTTCTTGGACAAACCCAAAATATTCTAGCTGAGCAAATGATGTGCTGTAAGGTTCTTTGGATGCTGTTTACAAAGATGATATTTTTCAGTGTAGAATCTGTCTGTAAACACTTTTGTTCACTTACAGACTTGGGGAAATTTTTAATATTGGAAAAAATATTTAATTGTTAGCATGGTCCCCTCATACTTTGAGGTGCACAAGTAGCAGTTATTAAAGTCAAGAGGTTGGCAGAAGTGACACAGCAACTAAAAAAGGTTCAGCTGTAATTGCAGGCAGCAGAATTTAATTTTCTAAAGCACTGCATGTCTGAGAGAGATTTCCTTCTGTATTTTGAAGATAAGTCATTATATCCAAAGGACAGCCATGCTGGTTTGGCACCATTGCAGAATCAGTAGCTGTGCAGCAGCAGGAGGCAATACTGACTACATATTAAACAGATTAAAAATACTACATTGTAATGCACCATCACTCCAGGTTCTGTCCTTCCTGGGGGCTGCAGCCTCCCCCCAGTGTGCCTCACTCTGGGCTCCACAATTAAAGACTGGACACGCCACAACATCCTGTGTGTTGCCATGAAAGAATCAAAGATGCCTCTGTACCTGTGCTGGGGGGTCTGACTGTCAGAAAAGCCCTGTATCAAACCCCAAGAGAACAAGCATTTCCTGGAAAACTGCCTGCTAGAGTGAGGATTGCAGGAATAGCTTTCCTTTGCCCTTTCTCCCTACCTACGATGTGCTCCTTTTCCAGTGCTTGCAAACTACTGTGGGGCATTGTTTGCTATCAGGACACATCAGCATGGATGGAGACCAGGAATTTTATGTTACAGCCATGTCATTATGAGCAGTTGAGACCTGTGATCCAGCTGATTCCATGGGGAGATCACTCCCTGCTCTGGTGGGCTCTTTCCTTTGTACACAATACCTGTATTGTCTGCACTGAGGTTTCATGTCTTAAAAGCACTGTGATGGCTTTTAAAAGAAATGAAATCCATCTATCAGAAGGAAAACAGGATTCCTAGAAAGTAGATTTATAGTTCAGTCTTCTAGAACAGCTGATATTCAGGATCTAAATGTTAATATTAGTTGTTAAAGTTGCAGTAAGTAAATTGCAGGATTTCAATGCACCTTTCATGAGAGCTGGGTGAATTGCTGTATCATTTTTTTCCCAAATTTGGAACATTGTGTATCTCACAGTTGGCCTATACCTCCCACCCATGGGACAGAAGAAAAAGAGCGAGGGAAGAGAAATGGTTTTATTAAAAAGCACAGGGACTACCTTTGAGAAAACAGAAAAATGTTGGCTCTGTTTCGGAAGGCATAACGGGGACCAGGGAAAAGAAATTAATCCTGTACAGTGTCCCCAAACACTTATTCCACATTTTTGTTGATCTGTTTATTTGTTATTTATTTATTTACTACTGTAAATAATTTCTAAGTTTTGACAGAAAGTTAAGGCGCTTGACCTTGACTTGGTTATAAATCAGGATATTTTATTGCTTCATCTTTCTCAGACTTACCTTTCTGTTTGCTCCCAACTCTTGTACTCTTTTCTACAGATCTCTGCAACTAATATTTCCCTTGGTCCTCTCATTTGGTGCCTTCCAGTCCACTAGAACCATCTTTTGTACTGAAAAAGAAAGATATTTGACAATGAGAAACTGAGAAAAACAGTTTGCACAGGTTTCTTTATATCCTCAATAACTCTGAGGTCTCTAAACCAACTTCCATGAGATATTTCCATTCTTTCTTTGTTCTGTGGAACATCTTATATGTTGTCAATGTATATGAATTACTGAGTGCTTAGAGATGTGAGGGCTAACACTGGCATTATATGTCCTTTTGTTTTTCCCCATTGAACTAGAATTTCAACCATGAAATGGTTTGGTATATGGAAAATATGGAGGAAATAATTGGTGGAAAAAATGGACTGGAAATGGTAAGGTAAGGGCAGCTCCTTTTTGAAACTGAAACAATCTTTGGGAAAATCAGCTGGCAGTTTTAAACTGGCTGGGTTTTAGAAATAATCTTATTATAAATAGAATGGTACAAGGGGTTATTTCTAATTATAATTTACCTAGTTTCAAAATAAGTTTCCCTCTGAAAGAGATATTGTAGAGCAGTGACTGAAGAGAGTCCTGAAGAGTCTGTACATGACAAAAATGGAAAGGGATAAGTTGCACCTATGTTTATATGCAGCACTGAAAGGTTGTATTTGGATGTGAATTACATGGATCAAAACATTTTAAGATTTACAGATATCTAAAACAATATACAAAAAATTATATTTTTAAAATATAATATATAAGGAAATTTTTTTTATTATTATTTTCTTCCAGGAGAAATTTCAGCAAAATGCATCTTTTTATAAGTGGATGAGTCTTATGCTTCTTTTCATTTGCTGTGCACAGCTTTAAAACCGAGTAAAGATTCAGGAAATTTTTGGCAGGATTTGTCATACACAATTCCCAGCCCAGTTCTACAGTTGGAAACACGAGCCAGTATCCAGAAGCCTGATGATCCTGGCCAACATGGCCAGGAGCCTAATTTCAGCTCGTCAGTCTTTCTTTAGCCTGAAATCTTAATTTAAAAAAAAAAAACAACCAAAAAAACACACAACAAAACAAAACACAAAAAACCAGGAAAACCAAACTGAACAAAAAAAGACACGGTCTTTGAAAAGCTCTAACAAAGTAAGTTCAGGAAATGTCAGAATCCCCTGGCTGCAGTTTGGGTTTTGTGCCCATTTTCCCCTCCCACAGGTGTATCTTACGCCCTGGGGGCTGCATCCATGGAATGAGATTTACAGTCTGCTCCAAGAAGAAATGCAGCCTGTCCACCACCACTGAAATCCTGTCCAGGAGTTTTCCTCATATTGTTAATGCTTGCACTCCCTGTTTTTTGATGGTCTACCTTTTTCTTCCTGGCATCCATTTTCTTTGATTATCCATGGAATGATTTGTTTTACACAGCCTGAGCACAGCATCTGTGCAGTACTTCACACAGGGGGGTACGAGATGCATACACAGGCAGACCAGGACCCAGGTACTTCTTTTATTAGAATTTCTATATTATTATTAGAATTCTTTTCTTATTTTATTAATTATTTTATATTAGTACTAGACATATAAATAGACACGTACTCAATATTTTCAATCAGTAAGGAAAGATAAATTCTTCAGGATATGGATAGAATAAATGTCAGGTATTCTATGAAACTGGGGAAAAGAAAGAAGAAAGAATGTAAGGGAGATCATCTTTGCAGTGGTCCTTTGGGATTTAAGAAAGGTACCTTAGGATATAAGAAAGGGTATGTAACATGGATATTTATTATACAGTAGTATTTAAAACACAACTTGTCAAAAATAATTAAAGAAATGTGGTACCATCAGGTGTTTTATAAAGAGATCACTGAAAACATACTTTTCTGAATCATACCCATGATCAAACCAATTTCTTACACATGTAATAGGGAAAAATGGAGAAAGGCCCCTTTATTAAACACATCTAATCTGTCTGAATTACTTTAAAACAGTATTCCTCATTATAGAAAACCCAATATTTCATCTTTGAGAGATCCTAAGGAGAGAGTACACAACCTCTCTTCCCCCAAAATGTTACTGATATTATTTCCGGTTGAATATTAGAGCAACAAAGTTTTCTTTCCAGGATTACATCAGTAAAGTTGCACTAAAGAAGATTTTTTTCTGGTGATGAGCATGTCCACACATGTGTTGCAGGCAAGTTAGATGAAGAATAAATCTACCAAAGTCATGATGACATGCCCTGATAGCTCCACACTTACTGAGTTATTGGTAGCTGGGAACACAGAGTGAACCTTCACTGCAGGAATAAATGCTGCTGTCATGGATGCTGCAATTCCACCAACTCCATAAGTTCAGGCCACCTGGCACCATCAAACTCATCTGTTTAGGAGTTTGATTTGATAGTAGTTTATGGCTCCAATTGCCTGGTACCAAGCTGTCCAAAAATATTGCAGAAATAATCATCAGCAAGCAATGAGTGGCCAAAACTCAGGAAAAAACCCTATAAACAGCTCTCTTAACCTTAAACCTTCATATTATTCTGTTACAAAGGCAGCAGTGCCAACAGGTCTGAAACCTTAAACATTCCCTCCACTCTTTACTGTGTTTTAAACACTATTAACATTCACAAAGGCTTATTTTTATTAGGAAAAATTAACCCTGAGAAACATAGTGGCAGTCTCAAGTACCAGGTACATTTTAGAGCATTAAGTTACCAGCAAATTTTCAGACACACTGTTGTGGTTTTCTCCTCAGGGTTGTTATCCTGGAATAATGGAACAGCCTCTTGCCTGAAAACCTGGAAAGTCCTACATGACAAAAGGTTTACATTTCAATTACCAGCTTCATCTGCCCATAGGAAGCAAACATTTGAATATCAGATTTTGCTTCCAAGCACTGGTGGAAACTTTTTGAAAAACACTTTGTGAAAAACACAGAAATATTTGCTGTCTAAAATAAGTGTGCCAAGATAGAAATAACTTTTTTTTACGGGGGAGAGATTTTATTTTTTTTATTTTTTTTTTTTTTATTTTTTTTTTTTTAGATTTTGAGGAAAGCCACATGGTGTCTATATGTCTTTGTGCCATTTTTCAGACAGGTTTGATTATCAGATGTTTTCACTGCTTGATTATCTGCCTATCAGTGCAGCTTGTGCAGATCATGGGAGTTGCTGTCACACCAGCCCAAAGGATGCCAAAACATTTTCTTTTGTGGTGGACTGCAGTAGTTTTGCTCTTTGAATGATCCCACCAGATATCTTGCTATTGTCTTATTTATTTGTAAAGAGACTATATATGTAAATAAAGCATCAGTATTTACAATTGTTCACAGTTATTTTCAAGGGGGTGGTGTGGGGAAGGAGGTAATTGAAAAGCAAATAGCAAGATTTTGGTCTCTACTGGAAAACATAATACACTATAGTCAGAGATTAGAGCAGACAAAATTGCTGAATTTCCAGCTGCTAAAAATTCTGCAGGATTGCCCTAGGTCCCTGGAAAGATGAAAACATGGGATCTTTAAAGCTTAAGGTAGTTATCCAAGTAATTTTGGAGAGCCAGAGTCAAGAAGGTCAACATTTCCAGCAACACCTTAGGATTCTGTTGTGTTTGATGATGCTGAATTCTATCTCTGTTTCCAATAGAGACCTTTACTAGCAAATCATATTTCTTGGTTAAGAAAAAGCTGATAAAATGTTGTGATAGCATCCTACAGTCATCATGGAGGGAACAATTGTTATGGCAGAAGGAATGAAATATGCAGTGACAAGCTGTGGAGGAGCTGGTCTTGGAGAAAATAAAAAAGGTTCCCTTCATGAAAAATTGCAGATTATTAGGGATGAGGGTTGCACTCATTAAGGGTGAAAAATCAGCTGACTCAAAGTGTTTATAGATAATCTGTGATACATTAACTGCATTCTTCATTGCACTCTATCCTTAAAAACTCCTTTTCATTCAGTGCTGTGTTTATGCAGGTATGTTTTATAATAATATTTATAAACTAGGATGACAGATCATCCAACCCATCTCCTCTATCCAAGTGTTCTGATTTGCTGGATTTTAATTAATTCATTGTACTAATCCACAAAACTATGAGATTAACATGCATTTGACCCTTTATATCTCATAAGCATTCAGAAATACTTTTGACATTTTAACATTTCTAGATACTGGAATCTCTTTAGTCACAGGAAAATAATGGCTACTTAATAAAATTTTCTAGAAAATGATCCTAACCCATATCCTTCAATGGAAAGACCTCTACCTAAAGCATCTTACCTATGGCTAAATGGAGGCATTAACTGAAAAGAAAACATTTTGACTTGTAAAACCTCTACTTATTTCTCTCAGCTTCTGTGCAGCTCAGTCCACCAGCATATGCACACTGCTTGGGCAGAACAGTCTACAACAGTTCTTATCCTACCCATGGAAGTCTCTTTCTTTTGTTCAAACCACTAAATGATGTTCTTCAAGACTGGTGAAAAAACATTGTCCTTAAGATTTTACCCCATTAAAAATTTTGTTGAACCTCATTAACAGATGTAAAAGTAAGTGAAAGAAAAGAAGACGTAAGAAAGGGGAAGAGGAGACTGATTTCTACCTCTGTCACCACCCTGCACCTCACAGAATGATAAAGGGGTTAAATAGGCAAACAAATACCTAAAAGAACACAGATCTCTATGTAGACCTTAATTTCATAGGTTTTGAATCAGACTCTTACAGGTGGATTAGTGTGCATTATTCCCCAGTCAGTTATCCCCAGAAATGCCCAGTTTTACAGAACAAAGACCTCATTCTTTCAAAAAGGGTGCTTCACCTGCATTTTACCAACATTTGAGAGAAATGCAAATTGGGCAACTGAAAACCAGACAACTCAACATCTATTAATAATGCTACAGGACTATTTATATCTAACCTGAAAGCTGCACTTCCAAACCAATTTCTTTTAATTTGAATTCAACTTACTGCACTTGGCAAGTTTCTGTGAATTTGCAAAGTGCCCATGGAGATATGGATACAAATACCTACTTTGGAGTATCAAATGGTACTGGCTATATAAGCTGAAAATTGTTCTTTAAGCCTGATAG